TTTAAAAAAAAAAAAAAAAAAAAAAAATGGTTCCCTGAGTGTGGGAACCTGACTTTTCTGATTCCTATGGGATACAGAGACAGGATGTTTCTGGTCTTTCTGAATAGGATATTTCAGGTCTTTTTCATTTGTGTTTTGTAAAAGAACTGTAAATAGATAATATACTGTGCTATACCTTGTGTATACTTTTTCAAATTTTACTCTGGTCCTGTTAGTGAATTATAAAACCAATTTATTGAATCCTACCAGCGATATGTTTTTTTATTTTTGTTATTTTTATTTTTTGGTGGTTGGCCAGCTACTAGCAATTTCTAATGAAATAAAATAGGGTAGAAAATAGAGCTCTTTAGGAAAAACGGGACACACTGCAGCAAAAACTCTGGCCAATTGCACGAGTGGTGTGAAAGCCATTGGGAGGAGATTTAATGAAAACAGACATTAGTTAGAAATAGGTTACTTAAACTTTCTTTTCATAACATACAGCCATGCGTCACTTAACGACAGGTTTATGTTCTGAGAAATGCGTTGTTGGGGCTGGCCAGTTAGCTCAGTTGGTTAGAGTGCAGCCTTATAGCACCAAGGTCACAGGTTCGGATCCCTCTACCAGCCAGTTGCCAAAAAAGAGGGGAAAAAAAGTATACAAAAAAAGAAATGTGTTGTTAGGTTATTTCGTTTTTGTGTGAACATCATAGAGTGTACTTACACAAACCTAGATGCTATAGCTTACTACACACTTAGGCTACAGGATATAGCCTATTTCTCTGGCCGTCATATACTCAGTCCATTGTTAACCGAAACGTTTTGCAGTGCATGACTATATATTTATGTATATATGTATCTGGGTCATGAAATACATGATATTTCTTTAATGGGTCATAATTTGAAAAATAGTTTGAAAAACACTGCTTTTAGTGTCTTGAATATGCAGTTGCAACTCAAATTTCTAGTAAATTTTAGTTCTAGTATGTTTGTACACTTGTGACTTTGCATGATCTCAGGGCATCAGTCCTTCAAACACGATACATCACGTATAGAAATAGAAGAGAAGCTTTGGATGATGAAGATAGCAACCCAAAGAAAGAGAAATTTAGGTAAGAACCAAGCAATTGTGAGTTTTTGTAGTAACTGTCTATCCGTTTTCCTTCTCACCACCCATGGGGCCGTCACCTGGTCCAAATGGCCAGTCTCTCTCCTGGATTATTGTAACAGTCTTAGTACTGGTTGCCCTGCTCCCACCCTTTCTCGCCTACAGTCTGTTCTCTAAGGGGCAGACAAAGTGATCCCTTGTAATCTTAGGTCAGACTATGTTATTCTCTGCTTAAAAGTATTATGTGGCTTATTTTATTTAGAGTAAAAACCTCTCAAAGAGGCTGACAGAATCCTACATGGTTTGCTCTTTGTCCCCATTGCCTCTCTGAATATATCTCCTGTCTTTTTCCTCTTGCTCAGTGTATTGCAGCCACGTTGTCCTCTGTTGTTTTTCAGACCTGCCAGGAGTACTTCTGCCTCACAGCCCTGTATGTGTTCTCTACCCAGAAGACCTGTAATACTCCTGGTCCCTTCTTTACTTCCCTCAGGTCTCCACTCAGTTTTAATATCATAAAAGAGGCCTCTTCTGACTACTTTATTAAAAGCACAATTCTCCCTTTACTCTCTGTGCCCTGTCTTATTTTGTACCTGAGCGTTGATCATCAGTTCACATATATGAAGGTACTTCAAAAAGTTCATGGAAAAATAGAGTTAAAAGATTTTTATTTATACAGATTTTTTCATGATCTTATTGAAGTACCCTTGTATTTTTGTTTATTCACTGATTATCTGTATCACTGGAGTGTAATCTCCAGGAGTGAAGACATTTTGTCTCTTTTGTTTATTGCTGTCTCCTCAGTGGTTAAAATAGTCCTGGTATGTGGAAGGGGCTCTGTAAATATTAGTTGAATAAATGAGTGAGTTAGTGGATATGGACATCTGTCTTTCATGGAAATAGCAAATAGGAAGCAAATGAATCAGAGTAAATAAGGTATATTGCAAAATATTTCTTGTCTTCTAATGAATTCCTAATATAATTCTAATTTCCCAGGAGCCTAATTTTAATTTCCCAGGTGTGTACATATGTCTGTACGAGTTGACCCATGTACGAAAGTCTTACAGTTGTAAACAAACTGAATAACAAGCTTTCCCTGTGACTGTCTTTGAGCAATTGTAACAGAGTATATTCATTTTGGGGGTGGGGG